GGGCCCTGGTTACCTGAGCCTCGGGCGTCCCTGGGCAGCTAGGCAGCCACCATCCAAGGCTTGACTGAGCCTCGAACCAGCCCTGGTCGGCTGGGCAGCCACCATCCAAGGCTTGACTGTGCCTCTGGCCAGCCCTGGGCAGCTGGGGGACTGAGAGGATTGGGGGACTCTGGAAGCAGGTGCGTGGCGGTGCTGAAGGGACTGGGCACCGCCATCTTGTGGCTGTGGGCGCCACTATCTTTGAGGGCAGGGCAGTCAATTAACATATTCCCCCCTTATTGGCTGTGGGTGCCATCATTGCGATGGCATGAGGGTCAATTATCATATTCCCTCTTTATTAGATAGGATTATGCATAACAGGATATTGTAAAAGTTAGGTAACGAAATTTTTAATAAAACGTTTCTTACATACCATTATATTGGCTGGGCCACCAAAATATTCATTGTGGGCCCCATGTGGCCTCCCCACCAGTGAATTTGACATGCCTGAACTAATTGCTCCCTCTGTCTCCAGTCTCCAACTTCCTCTGCCGCCCTCTTGTGGCTGCCCTGGCCCGAGTCTCCCAAAGCCTTTCTCTGACCCTGTGCTGGTCCCATTTAGCAAACACTCCAATCCTCTTAGCCAGGCCAGCCTCAGCAAAATACAGGGAGACTTAGCAGGGATTTGGAGGGACATGTGACAGGCTGTGGTTGAGGTGTGAGCACAACCTCAGGAGGGGGGCAGGCACAGAGGAAGACAGACCAAGGAGCAGGAGAGGGGTCACAGAAAGGGAAACATAGGTGCAGAGAGGGGCGAGATGGTGGTTAGGGACAAAGGGGAAACTGAGGCAGGGGCATTTCTTGACCTCAAAACCAGAAAAGTCAGGGTGCCCCCAGCTTGGGTCACTTCCCATGTCACAGTAGCTGTCCCATGCAGTCTAATGTCCCTATAAAATGTCCATTGAGGCCGCAGCCTAATCCCATGCCAACAGGAGGCCCCACCACACACCAGAGCATTCCAGCGCCTTTCGACTGAGCAGGGAGTGGGAGGGACATGTGACAGGCTGTGGGTGAGGGGTGAGCACAACTGCAGGAGGAGGGGCACAGAGGAAGACAGACCAAGGAGCAGGAGAGGGGAAACATAGGTGCAGAGAGGGCTGAGATGGAGGTTAGGGACAAAGGGGAATGGACATTTCTTGATCTCAAAACCAGAAAAGCCAGGGTGTCCCCAGCCTGGGTCACTTCCCATGTCACAGAGCTGTCCCATGTAGTCTAATGTCCCTATAAAATGTCCATTAAGGCCGGCAGCCTAATCCCATGCCAACAGAGCATTCCAGCACCTTTCTGAGAAGACAGCCAGCATCTGAGCTGCGGGAGCTGGCTGCCCAGCTGGAGAGCACAGCCCTCACCCTCTGCTCTGGGCCCTGGGCCCAGCCAACCTGCTTCTTGAAGGACATGTGGGCAGCTGGACGTCCATGGGACTTTGGGTAATGATGTCACCTTCTCCATGCATGTGGGGGTGAATTGCATGCAGTGTGTTGTGCCATTAACATGCTCAGCACAGAGCCTGGGTCACAGGTCCTGAATCAATGGGAGTCTTACGTATTCTGCCCCTTGGATGCCCCCCTCCTGTGCTCCTAGCCAGGTCAGAGGAGAAATGAAGGGGACATGGGTCATATGGACAAATTATGTCCCCCCTGCAGGCCTGGGGGTCTATACCCTTTTCAAGCCCTGGTCCCACCTTCTCCTGCCTCCTCGGTGCCTGTGAGACCTGGGCTGCAGGTGTGTCGGAGTCTCTGGGATCCCCTCCCCCACGTGAGACCCAGGAGTCGCTCTCAGGAAGAGACAGGGAAGCGACAGTGTCTTGTGGCTGCGATTCATCTGCAGTGACATGGGCAGAGGATGGACTGTGTAGAAGATGTTCACAAACATCCTTGGTTGCATTTGCATTTTCAATCAAAAATTAAAGTCTATTTGTCTCCAAACTCACCACGTTGCATCCTTTGGATATATACAGCTTTGTATGTCCATCGTCCCTCAATGAAGTGGGTTTTAAAAGCCTACCGTCCGACAGGGACACCGGCAACACTCAGCCTGAGTTGGAGTCATTTCTGATGAAGCAGTTTCTGGTCATGTTTTCATCGCTGTCGCAGACACTGGCTTCAAAGTGCTGAAGGCAGCGCCGTTGGTTACTTATTAGGCCTTCTGCCCGCCCCCAAGCTCCCTTTTCCTTCAATAAAGTCTTTAACTTCGAAAAAATTATTTTTATGGATTTGAGATCGAGAGAGGAAGAGAGAGAGAGAGAGAGAGGTATTTGTACTTCCACTTATTTAGTATGTATTCATTGGTTGATTATTTTATGTGCCCTGGCCAGCGATGGGATGCCTGGCCTTGGTGAATCAGGCAGAACAAGTTCTAACCCACTGAGGTAACAGCCAAGGCCAAAACAATTTTTAAACCCTCCATTTTTGTTTTGTTTGACTCCACTCAGCTGTCCACCTCCCTCCTGGCCCTGTGAAGCAGGGTGGGAGGAAATGTAAGTTTTGTACTATATTCATTTCCTCTTCAGTGTTTGCATTTCTTCCAGGGAAGTGAGGGTTTTTTATGTTTTATATTTTAGAAAACAGTATTGTTGATAACTTAAAACTCTAATCCTTGCAGCTCACGTGCGGAAAAACATGTGGAGTACACACATACACAAACTACTACAAGTAATAAATGAATTTCTCAAGATCCTAGGATGCAAAATCAATAAGCTAATATTAATTGTATTTTTGTATAATGAAAATGAGGAATAAGAAAAGGATATCTTAGAAATAATATAATTTACAGCTTCAGACCAGTGACAAGGTTCATTGTACCTTTGTCCCTAACACTGAAAGGTGGTGGGTTTGATTCCCGCTCAGGGTACATGCACATGTTATAGCTTCAATGCCTGGTCTGAACGGGTACATGATATAAAACAACAAAACCATGATATAAAAATAACAGTGATGCAAACAATGACTGATAAAGTGATTAAACTTATTCTAGTATCTCCCTGTACACCACATTAAGAGTGAAAACACTTTCAGAGTGCTTGACTAATTTCCCTTGTGATGAAGTATTTAGAAGTTTAACTTTAACCTCACATGCTCTTCAAGCTTGAGAGAAAGCAACATATAACTGACCATGTGGGAAAATGGGTGCAGGTAGGAATATTCCTACTCTGTCTAGGGTTTATCCTTGTGATTTATTAATAGTCATCACAAATGCTGGCATCCCGGGAAACTGTCATTGAATCAATTTAAATGGGAGGCCAGTGTCAGATGGGGACAAATTAATTCTTGGAATCAGAACAACCTCTCCCTCTGCAGATCCTGTTAATACTTCAGCTTCGATAATGTTAGGTCATAATCTTTTAATAATAAATCTGGTACCATTACAAAGACCCCATTTACTGTTGAGATTTCTCAATAGCATGATGATAGCACCCACTTTCCCACTTTCAATTTTAATTTATGACACGGCATTCCCGAAGGAGTAATACTAGTAAGAAATTCGATGGGAAAATTTTCCTTTTCAGCATCATCTGTGGAATCACTGGA